GTCTGCTGCTACAGGGCAATCAAATCTCACAAATCCAAATCTTGAGTTTGTCACTGTCTTTCTTTTGAAGGGTATAAAGACATCATTTACTATGCCAAACTGTGTGAAAAGGTTTAACAGAGTTTTAGCATCCATAGCTGTAGGTAAATTTTCACAAATACAGTGAATAATCCATGCTTAGCTTCCTTGCCTTAAGCTCCACCTCCTACCAACCGCCTCACTACCGAAATCCAACCTCCATTTCCTGCTTGTGCCATTACATTTTCACTGAGGCATTTTATCAAACAGGTAGATTGCGAAAACTTTTAACTGGGAAAATCAAGACCAGCTCCCATTCTTGGCTTCCCCCAAATCACAAAACCCATTTGAAATCAGAAAGGTCAGAGAGGATGGTAAAGGCCTTACTCAAATGTTGATAGATGGTAGAGATGAAAGTTTGGTCAGTCGCCGCTAACGATGGTAGCCATTTGTTCCCAAGCAGTTGGTTTTCTTATCGACTTTTCTTAGATAATGATTGTTTTCTAGATGGGAGTGCCACCGGAGATAGGAAAACAAATCGGCGAGCAGAGACTATTTGAGAGGAGACAATCGACGGTGATCGGTAGAGCTAGTAACGGCGACAACAATCAGCAACACTAGCTACAGCAACGGCGATCGGCAAGGTTTTATGGAGGGGTGATGATGATGATAATGATGATGATGATGATTTTTTAAACTGCCTGTTGCTAATGAATTCGCTTACCTTTTTCTTCCCTATATCCTTTACCCATTATCATTTACTTCTACTAGTCTAAGTTTGCCTCTCTTTCTCTCTCATATGAATCCACTCCTAACCTCTCTGTCTCTCACTTCTCACTGATCTTCTTTCCTAAAACAAGAATTGATAAGAATTTCCAATCATTCGCACTTAAACATGATACTAGGTATGTTTGACAACCAATTAGTCTTAAAGCATTAAAAACTAAAAGAAAAATATTGTTATTTCTTACCTCAACATTCTTGTTCATGTGCACCATAAAAGCATGCTACGCGTGTTTACTCATTGTATTATTTTTAATTAGGTTTTGGTATTTGAACATAGGATCATCTTACTCTGATATACACAATTAACATTGTCTTGCTCTAAAAGTTTTAGCTATTAGCAAATGGAATTATTTATTTCAATAGAATTGGTTTGAAGATATACTAGTGAATCATCTGTTTCAATATCTCCAACTGTGCCATAATCAACCACATTTAAAGTGTCTGATATTCCAACATCTTCTACTCGAATGCCTAAGCCAAATGTAGCAATACAACATACCATAAGAATGCCGATTAGCTCCTGCAAGAAAAACATCAGAGTGTATCCTCAAACATACATAGTTGTGCACTAATGCATACACACGTACGTCAAGAGAAAGAAGAAAAACTAATTATTTGCAAGAATGAAAATCATGATTTTTAGTTTCCAAGTGGTGGAAGCACTTCTCACCATTGTATACAAGCAACCAAATGAAGATTTATAAAATAAAATAAAATAAATTATGCTTAGTGAAAAATATAGATTTTTGAGACATATTATGGCCCCGTTTGGTAGAGTTGTGAGAAAGTGATTATAACTTATAGCCTAACAGCTTATAGCTTATAGCTATGAACATAAGTTGATTTTTGACTTATAAATTAAGCTTCTCCTTCCCCACTCAAAGAATAAGTTGATTTTTGACTTACAAAAAGCTATAAGCTGTATTGTTAAGCTGAACCAAACACATCAAAATAGCTTAAATTAAGCTAAAAATTGAAATAAGCCGGAAATAAGTCCTACCAAACAGGGCCTATATAAAGTTGGGATGATAGTAGAATGCCTTGGCCAAAATTTTGAAAATCAAACTTTTTGCCACGCTTTAGTTTTACAACCCTTTTTTAATTAAGCCTTTGACTAGTTTATAACTGATGTTGGTTATCAGTTGGATTTTGGGTTGTATATATATTTACGCAAGTAACATGATATGATACATGAAATCTTAAGCTTATTCACTAGTACAAAAAGAAATCTCAAGCTTATAACTCAGGCATTAATGTTCTTAGGGTTTATATTGCTCGAGTTCATATTGTGACCATATCGTAGGAAATGAACCTAACTAAAATGAGAAACGAAAATGCCTAAAATTTTTAAAACGTGATCTCTAAATTTGATGTGAGCAATTATATATGTTAGTTGTTAATTATACCACTATTCTCTTAACTATTAATGAATGTCACTTGACCTTTTCAATTATGAAAATGTATCACTTTCACCCTTTTTAGACCACTTCTAAAAAAACGTGTAATTATAAAATTTTTAAAGTTGAGGTGATCAAAATGTACGAGTTTATATATAAAGGGATAAAGTGATATTTGTTAACAGTGGAGGGGTGTTGGTGTAATTAACCCTTTTTATTTAATTTTTCATGTGTTATGATGGATTTTATTGTTTTTAAATATATACAAAATCCTAATACTTTTTCAAAATGAAATAATATTTGTATTTTATCATTTTATTTTATTTCATTTATATATATACATCCTAAGAGAATGCAACACCTAAGATCATTAAAAAAAAATTAGGTACATCAGAAGTCTAAAAATAATTAATAAAAAAAAAACTAAGATCATTATGAAAACATTCCACCAATCTAGTTAAGCCCACCATATCGATCAGCCCAGCACCCTTATGGGCCCACAGTTCACACCTTTTACAAAATAAAATTTAAAAAAAAATAATTAAATTAAAACGAAGAAATCGATCACATTGGAACTTACAAAGAAAATGTTGATGGAATCTAGCATAATCACATTTATTACAAAGAAAATGTGATAATTATAGAGAAATCAGACCCCTATTTATATATGATTGTAATTATTTTTACCTGTAAATTGACTTGACTTTCTTATTTTTCTTGATTTTAACTATTTCTTACTCTTAGCAATTTTCAATATCTCAAAGGAGGTGAGAAAAGTGGTCATGTTTGGTTGTATTTTTGTTTTAATTTTTCAAAAAATATAATAATAATAATAATAAATTGGCAAACTGTTTCCAGAAAAATTTCAGGAATTCTTTTTTTTTTAATAGCTAAATTTTTGAAAAACACGTAAACAAATAAAATAAAAGCTTAACCAATCATGCCTTCGGTGTTTAGCAACACTTATAATCAGGGGCGGAGCCACCTAAAGCCTAGGGGGTCATGTGCCCCCTAAACTTTCAATATTTAACTGTTACTCATATAGATAAAGATTATGCATTATGTATTCTTTATAAAATTATAATAGTGACCCTCTTTAAATTATGTGAAACTTTTTGCTTTTTTAAAATTTTAAAAATTCTCTATTTTATTATTTTGATTATTCTTGTACACTTTTAATTGATAGGTCAAGGCAAAAATTAAATCAATTGATAATTCATTCCTTATTATGCGATTTGTTTAATTGCTTATTTCTCCTCATTGTGGGACACTTTTTTTGAGTCGATAAGATTGAACTTATTGATTATTTGATTCATAGAATTTAGTTATTGAGTGGATTTATAAGTCACATTAATGTAAATCTCAGGATAATTGTAATAAAAATAAAAATGTAAATGTATAAGTTTAATAATATCTCACTATTACTTGTTATGGGAGGAAAAAAAATCAATGTTGTGATAAATATGTGCCCCCTTTACATTAAATTTCTGGTTCCGCCACTACTTATAATATGAAAATTATTGTAAACCTGACCATTACGTTCAAATCCAACTAAAAACAAAATAATTAATTAATCACCCATTTGTTTTTGGAAGTTCGTAGGAATGTGAATTACCGAGTCAACACCGTCTATGGTTTTTTTTCTTTAAAAAAAGGAGATATATATAATTTTCGAGATAGGCTCCTCTTAAGTTTGTAAATTTGGACAGTCTTTCTAGTTTGCTTATTTTTTTTTTGACTCAAATTCAATGATTTGAACCATTTACATTTTAAAATTCGTAATAAATTATTCTTATAAAAAATTAAGTTGATCGGAAACAATAATTATATATTTTGATCAATTTTGTATGTAAAAAATGGACGATGAGTATAATTTTAAATATAATCGTTCATTTTCTTCAATAAAAAATTAATTCAAACATGTAATTATCATTATTTGATCAATTTAATTTTTTTTTTATATAAATAATTTACTTGACGAACTCATGTAAGCAGTTTAAATCATCGAAATAGAATCAAAATATAAGCCCACTAAAAAGACTAGATGGTCCGGTCCAAATTGGCAACCGGAGACTAACCATCCTCATAATTTTCAATCCTTCCATTATATCTAACCTTTGTTTTCCATGTACTACCATGTAAATCCTTTGTGATTTCCCTAGAAAAACCTAAATTAAAACATAAGATAAGAAAATTTCTAATTCAGTTTTAAGTTTCCTGACCCATAAGAACTTACCTAAAAAAATAATAAAATCAAAATCAAAATATTAAATAAAGTAAAGCCATAAGAAGCAAAAAATATTTATAGAAACTACCTTTCATATTAATAAAAATGTAACACGCCTTTTTTTTAAGTGAATAAGTTTTTCTCTGCTCTTTAATTGGATCAGAGATGTTCAGTTGACATATTGTGAGTCTATTTCGGTGATCTGAACCATTTATCTTGTAAGATTTATTGAATAACTTTTTCATACAAAAAAATAGAATGATAAGATATTGATACCCAAATAATTGAATCATATTGTTCTTTAAAATTTGACAATCTATTATCAAAATTATATTTATAATTCATTATTTTTAAAACACACATGGTTCGATCATATGACTATGTCTAATCAATTTAATTTTTTACATAAATGATTTACTTAATAGATTTTAAAAGATAAACAACTTGAATTATCGAAGTGGACACAAGATTGACTCACAATATACCAACTAGACTATCGTGTCGGAGTAAGGACGGTAGAAAAATCTGATTCTTCCCTAAGTAATTCCATAAAAACCCCAACCCCACATCAAACGCATCTGTTAGGACTAATCCTGGAAACCCTCAATAATTTAGTGTGAATACAGCTTTCTCTCTCCATCTCTCACTTTTTGCATAGCCTGCCAACCCAACACCATTGAAGCAGTTGATGAAGTTGACCAGCCCAATGTCAAAAGACAGGAGATTGATCCAACAGCCTCACATATATTCCAAACCTGTCTAGATAGATAGACAGATACAACCAAAAGGAAATGGTACCACTTCTCCTTCCAATCAAGCAATGAAAGACTCCTTTGTAAGAAAGTTTCAACCCACACAAAGACAGACTTCCCAGCACCAACAAGACTATAACACCAGACTTTTCTCTCCTTTGTCTAATAACCCACAAGCCTTAATCCTCTCTCTATATTTTCCATATTCACCAATTCAAGACAAGTCTTGGCGCAACGGTAAAGCTATTTCATTGCGATTTGAGCTTCACGACCACAGCAAGTCTTTAATATTGCGTACATCTGACTCTTTTCAGATCCTGCAGTGACGGAAGCCTTCTTTTTTTTTCTTTTTTTTTTTATCAATTCTTGTGGAATAAAGATACCATCTGTATCACCATGGACAAAAACCATTATGTGTTCACACTAAACCTCTCTGTGATCATAGCCCTCGGAGTCATCTCCTTCGTATTGTGCATTGCCTCCGAGTTCAAGAGGACAAAGGTACAATTGCAAGTACTTTTTTGTTTTCATTTTGTTCAAAACATAGAAACAGTCTCTACACGTCCTTTAAATATATCAATTGGGCAAATACGTCCAACTAGCATTTCGCTCTGTCAATCCTCCCGGGCCCAAATAACTCTACAATATATTTGTGTCATGGGTTAGTTTGATCCAAAAGTTGTATATACATGGCTCTTTTCAAATTCCCCAATCACAGAGTCTCGTGCATTGAACTGTCTTCTTTAGTTTTCATGTTATTTGGTGTTTTTGCAGAGGAGGGATCTCAAATTGGACGGTAAGTTGTGTTATTTGCCGGGAAGTCCTGCTTTTGGGCTTGGAATTGCAGCTTTGATCTGTCTGTTGTCGGCTCAGGTCATCGGAAACTTCATCATCTGTAGAAATTACTGTTTGAGAGAGAAGAGAACCAGTTTCAGGGCTAAAAAACCAACGGTTGCTACCACTTTTCTGGTCCTATCATGGTAGGTGAACTTTTAATCTCATTGGTATTCCTATTCTAAGGTCACAATTGTAGATTGGTTTTACTTTTCAACTATGAGAGCAACACATCAGAGTGGTTGAATTGGATACCACCAATTTAATCAAATCATCATAGGGAAATTGTTTAGTGTTCTCGGAACACCATGACATGCACATTAAAAAAAATTGATTTTATCTTTCATGAGAGACTTTTCATGATCCCTAACATTTCTCTTTATCTTTTATCCAATTCGCTAATACCAATATGTTTAGTTAGTGCTCTGGGTCAAAAACTTAAAAGATATCTTTTTGAGTAAACTTTTTAATGTTTTAGACAATTAATTTTACTTTTTATATTCACTTAATCTAAAAACACTTTAAAAATACAAAAGAAAATATAAAAATTTAGTATATTTATATATATATTGTATTTATTCAATTTTTTAAAATTGAATCACAAATATTTACTCTTTTACGTACACCTAAATTAGATACATCTAAATAAATAAATTGATTAAAATATTTTTTAAAATTATTAAAAACAAAAAAATACGAATTAAAAATTCAAAAATTATTTTTGAAAATTCAAAATCAAACAAAGATATTATTTTTTTCAACCAATCAATAACTATATTTTAGTCACATATTTTATCATATTGTTTAAAAAATAGTTTTCTCAACTTAAAATTTTAAACAATCATGACAACCACTCATAATTGAGAGTTTCAATTCTATCTTTTGCTTGCAACGAGGATAACTATCATTGGCCACGAGTGGACAAGTCAAATTTTTTTTTTTTTTTTTTTTTTTTTAATTTGGACGCACTCCTAGATAGAACCTTCACACATGGGGACAGTTGGATACATATTAATTCTTAATCAACTTTTCAATTTCAACAGATAAGACTAGGAAAGCAAATTAATTAATTACAACAAAAAAAACAAACATAGTCATGTAAGAGTAATAATATAAACAAGTTTTTAAATTTAATGATGTTGCAGGATCAGTTGCGGATTTGCAATTATATTATTAAGCGCGGCCACAAGTATAAATAGAATACAGCACTTCGGAGATGGATGGGTAGATGGCGAGTGCTACATAGTAAAAGATGGAGTGTATGTTGGGGCATCAATTCTAGTTTTGGTCACAGTGGGCTCAACACTTGCTTCAACCATCATAACAATCAAGAAGGAACGAGTTGAGCAAGGCCTAAAGGCTCATGGGCAAGTTCGATGAAGAAATTGGGGCTAAACAAAAGAGAACAAGACAATTATCATATAACAGCAATATTAGAAACTCAAAAAAAGCGTTGTATATACAAGAATTGAATCTGAAGCACATTTCAATTTTCAGGACAAATTTTCTAAGTTCCCATCTTTTCTGATCAAAGTTGGGGAGTGATGTGGGCAGAAGGAAGGGAAGGACCTCCACCATGCATCAACTACACCAAATGGAGGAAAAAGAAGACCTCAGCCCAACAAAAATCTACAAGGTTTGCTCAGAAGTTCAAATAATTATTTTGTATTTCATATTCAAGACATACAGAGAAAATAAGTTTTTCCGTACATGGTGGGTTAGCCTCACTTGGACTTGTGGTACATACCTATGTCAATAGTCAAAACAAAGAATTTTAAACAACCAAACAAGAAAAAATAAATGAAGATGTTTCTTTTCATATTTTCTTCCCAAGTTAGTCACTGACACGGATAGTTTCTTCCCAAGATGTTTCTATTGTATAGGGTTATAACCAGTGTATTTAATTTCAGTTTTTTAAATTTAATTTTTTAAAAATTGTGTTTTTTGTTTTTCGTGTTCTTTTTTTTTTGTTTTTAGTGAATATTTTTAAAATTTTAAATAATATTTTTACTTTTTTAGATACACCTTACTTAGATGTATCTAAATAGTAAATATTTATAAATAAATAAAAATTAAATTAATAAACATATAAAAATATGAAAAATGTACTGAATTTTTATATTTTTTTGTATTTAATGAATTTTTAAAGAAAAAATTCACAAATATTATACTTTTAAAGTATATTTATGTTAAGTGTGTCTAAAAATTTTAAAAAAAAATTGCTTAAAATATTAAAAAAAATCAATAAAAATAAAAAAAATACAGAAAATAAGAAAGTAAAATTTTTTGAAAAGTGTTTTCAAAAAACTGAAAACAAATATGGTGAATAATATTTTCACAAAATATCATAAGATGTATAATATATAGGTTATTTTGAAAATATGATTAAAAGTTGATTTTTTAACTTTTTTATAATTTTTAAAAAAAATATATATATATAAAAATTATAAAAAATAACATAACCCAAAATAAATTAAAAAATAACTTTTAACAATTTTTCACAAATAATCTTTTATATATATATATATATATATATCAATGCTCAAGAGTCAATGAGTCAACAGCACATGGGTGAGTCAGCAAAGCACTCAGTCCATTGAAAAACGAAAAGAAAATGAGCAAGAAAAGCCCTCCCCCTCATCTCACTCCAAATCAAGCCCGGAGAACAGTGGAAGCATCTGTTTCCCACCCAACAATGATTTTTCTTCAAAAACAGCTATAAAACTCTGAATTTTTTCCCCCTTTAGAGCATGAGAACAGCCATTCAATAGCATTTTTTCCCCACAATTTTTTACAAATAATGAGAGTATGAGATAAAAACCGAGCAGCTTTGTGCAACATGTCTCCTTTCAATCAATCAAAAAAAAAAAAAAAAAAAAAAATGACATAAAAATATGATAGTTTTTCAGAAACCAAAAAAATATTTATCTTTGTAAGCAATTAAAAATTTCATACTGTAAAAGAAGTTAATTTTTCTTTCAATATATTGCCTAATTTTTTGCTTTTAAAAGTAAAAAAATTTCGTAGTTTAAAAGAAATCTATTTTTCTTTCTTCTTTTTATTTTTATTTTTATAAACTCTATTTATATATAAAATTTAAACCCAAAAAAATCACAAAAATAATGTTATAAATAAAAAGCATCCTCATGAATGTTTTATTTTAAAATGAAAGGTCCATATTAAATTACATCATTTTATCTCGAAATTATGTATGATTTTTTTTTATTTTTTATAATACTACATAATTTAACAAATTAAAAAAAAAATTAAAATTCAGTGGATTGAATTGAACCCAGTGCTTTATACGTAACTCTGCCCATGGCTGTAGACACCTTTCTATGAATCTTAGCACAATTGAGAGAGAGAGAGTCATTCCAAATGCTATGTAAAATGTAATGAAACTTATTGATTTCCAAGGAGCAAAGTAGATCAGATATTAGCAATTAAAGCATATTTCCGGCAATAATACACCAAACTCCAGACTGCCATCGGACTTTACAATAGGCACCAATCCAGGTATTGCAACCCAATTACGAAAATAACAGTAACAAAGCATACTAATACTAGTATCACATATTTCCTTATGTTTGCTTGAGGACATTAGATAGAAAGAAGAAAGGGAGAGGGTTGGAGTTTAAAACTGATCCAACATACAATTCCCATACGAGCATCTGTTCTAAAAAGTAAACTAGTAAGGCCGACTCATGAGCCAAAAAACCATGAGCCTGCCATAATTAGTGATTTTAATGGTTCCTACCAAGAAAAACTCAAGACGGAATCTTCACAAATTTCCACAGTAGTGATCCTGATGAGATTCATTCCTCAAATAGCTGTCTTGAAGAAACAAAGGGCAACAGTATTTAACTGTGAACCACAAGCAAGCATGCACCTTTGGAGAATTCAAAATTCAAATGTCATATGCGATAGTATCCACCACGGCCCCTTCCATTGTAGTTATATCCCCTTCCCCTGTTATATGAGCCATGATAGTTCTCACCTCGTCCAGCTCCATAGCCTCCATAACCAAGATGAGGTCTCTGGGGGAAATTGCCAAAAGTCTGGGGGGTAAAAAGATAAATAAGTTGTCAAACAATTAGTACCCCCTCTTTTAACATTTTAGAAGTGAATACCATAAATACAATTAGCAAACCTCAGTATCCTGCTTCATTCGCTCTGAGAACCTATTCTGTCCGTTTCTTGCTCCACGGGCAAGTGAATTACAAGATATCGTGTCAAAGAACTCATCCTTACTATATGCAGGCTGCACAGGGAAGCAACAAAGGATTGCCTCAGTGATTGCCTTTCACATAATCTATAACTCCAAATTACTATGTTTGTGGACCAAAAAATAACAAAAACAGAGAGAATTTCACTACAAGATATAAAAAAACATTCCAAGACCTACTTTGGGGTCAATCTTCGGTGCCGAGCCAAAACCCCCTTCATGCCCCAAGTTTTGAGCAACTGCATTGTCCTCAAATCCCTCTGTTTCATCCCTTTGCTTTGTACCTCCAAGATAACCCCATACTTCGTCCTTTTTAAACTTCTCATTCATGGCTTCAAAATCAAATTCCTCGGTGAACTGCATAATAGAATGTTTACACAACAAAATTATTAAAACAAAAAGAAAAACAATATAGGTTCAATCATTCAAAAGGCTAACCGCATGTTCATACAGAAACCAGTAACAACCCAGAACAACTAGGAACCAGAAGTGTATATACATTCTTCATTTAATAAACAAAGGCAAAGGAGATCAACCCATTCAACAAGGAGATCAACCCATAAAGGAAGTATTCATTGGAGCCAGCCACAAACTGAATCAAGCATCCACCAATTCCCAAAGATAACAATCAATAAATGGTGAACCAATTTTCTAACACAAAAAGAACTGTAGGTCACAGGCATATCAAATTTCTGACAGCATAGTTATTGGAGGCTGAGAAAATGTGTATACAAGAGGACTAGAGGATGGTGGATACACAAAAACAAGAAAGACTATTTGAGGGGAAAAAATAGCATAAAATTTTCTTCACAGCTATTTGAGCATCCCAACAATATGAAACACAAAGCTAAGAAGCACAGGCACGGCACAGACAAGATGACAACAATTTTCAAAAAAATAAAAATGTAGGATACAACACGTGGGAGACACGCAAAATAAATGATTTTATACACTTCTTATGTGTCATATATATGAATATTTTATTCAAAATTAATAAAATATACAACATAATACGAAATTCTAATGTTTAATGTAGGATGGATTGAGAGCTCTAAATCTACATTGTTTTCCTTTTTATCTTTAGATCCTACGTTTTTTGTTCAAATTTACAAAGTATTTCATGCATCTAAGCAATGAATATGTGTGTGCTCTAGGTGTCTGAAACGTATACTAGTCTAAAAAAATTTAAAATAATAGGACACATTTGGACGAGTGTTGGAAAGTGTACCACATGTTGCGACATGTACACTCTGCTTTGCTTCTTAGAATACAAGTAAACAATCATGCAGTATGATGACACAAGATGATAAATTGGAAAGAGTGACGCCATCATAGATGAAAAACAGATAAAATCAAAATACAATAGATCTATCTGAAATTAAATATTTTGCATAAAGAAAACATTTTCGCCAACCTGTTGTGCGGAGACAGAGTGTGGCAATGGCAATAGTGGCGGTTGAACTGCTGTAGTAGTAATTGAGGACGACAAATTTGGGGATGCTGAATTAAGGGCAAGCATATCTTTCTGATCAGGGTAGGGGTTCTGTGCAGAAGAAAGAAGAGGTGGCCTAGGCTGTGATAACTGATATGGAGTTAACAAAGTTGGTGGTACCTTTAACAAGGGGCCTAATGTGGAATCTGCAACAGAAGAAGCAGAGCATGGCAAGGACTGACCAGAAAGGGCTGTTACTGAGTCAGAACCCATTTTACCAACAATTGCAGCTTCAATAGCATTCTCGTCTTGACAAGATGAAGGAAATGGAGACATGGTTAATCTACTAGCAGTCAGAAGTGCAGGATGAGAAGGTGGAGATGTCTTCACAGACAAGGAGGAAGGCATAATGAAAGAAGTAGGATGTTGTTCTTGAGGAAGAGAATGTGTAATATTTAAATGTACAGGATTAGAAGTGCTAAGTGAAGATAGAGGAGCAGCAACACCTGATGAATATGTTAATCCCATAGATGCTGGAGTCACATAAGGCTGTAGAAGATTCTGCACTGTTCCAGGCAATGATGTTGTACTAGAAGACATGGGCACTAATGGATTAGGCTGTTGTGGAGCATAAAGGCTATTGCTTGACGTTCCATTATATCCGGGCCAAAACATTGGCATGGCCAAAGATGCCGCATTGGCATTTTGAGTTGCTTGCAGAGGAACCCCAGGACCCACTGGCATTTCATATTGATTTGATGGCAATGTGCCAGGATAGGACGTATTGGCTAAAGTAGGAGGTTCCTGGTGAGAGCTGAATTGCATCGAAGATCCACCACCAACTGAAACTGATTTTGATGAACTTGAAGGGCCCAACAAGCTGTGTGACTGCAGAAAAAGTGAATGAGAAGAATATGATTACAGTCCCATGGAACAATTCTATTAAGTTGTCACATGTATCCACCAAGGGAATTAGTACCTGTATAATTGCAGGATCATTCTGTATCAGCTCCTCCTTCTGAGCAGGTGGTGAAGATTTCACTATCAAATCCTGAAATAGAACAAACTATTGGAAACCTAAAATTGAAAGTGAATAATAAATTAAACGTACTCCTGCATTCTCAAAATCTCAGTTGTAATTAGCATCAAGGTTGCAATATTTGGCCCCTCACAATGGTTGTGAGTGACACATGCATGTAATACAAATACTATTATTCTCTCGGACAAGTTACTTACAATTCTAACATGCCAAAAACTCTGACTAAGTGTAATATTTTTTCTTTTTCTTTTTTTTTTAATAATTCATTGTATTCAATTATATAAAAACTTGCTCCTCGAAAAAGAAAAAGAGATAAGACCCATATGTTGCATGAATCAAGCCCTTTTGCAAACATGACAACAATAATTTACTATTTACATCAAAGCAAGGGAATGCTTTTATTAATTAGTTTTCTAAGTATTGAAAGGTTGATACCTGCTAGGATAGGAATGTCAACGGCTTTAAATATTTTTGTGAAAAAATTAAACCTGAGGTGGAAGATGGTTAATGGTACCTTCATGAACAACATTACGTAGGGAAATGTACCTCGTTTTCTTTTGTAAGGAAGCATACCTTTGAGTAAATTGATTCTAGCCTATTTTGTTGCAGTTAGTAAGGACCTTAAAGTAACCAACAAGTTTCCTGAAAGGGGATAGAGATGCATTGCAAGCCATATTTTGATAGATCCCTTTAAGACTAGGAATTTGATTATATTGCACAGGTTCTTAATAATTTAACTTGGAAAAAAGACATGGCACTATTCTGGTTCATGGTTTCTCTTGACAACTGAAGCTAGAAAGTGGAGGCATCATAATTTTAGACAAAGAGGCTACTATTTTTCTCACTCTGCAGCCTAGCCCTTCCCCAGGGCTCACTATTAAGGCTTAATTGCTATTTAAGAAGGATCTGAAGGGATCCAACAAAGATTTGTTTCAAAGGCAATTGCTCAGTCTGAAAGGATGGACAAAGAGGTATGTTCACTTTTTCAGTAAGATTTCAGATTTAGCCAAATTGAGAGATGCAGGAAAAATTATAAAAATATACCTTAGATAGAGGCCTTAAAAATCTTTTTCATTGAGGGGAATTTAGGGCTAAAATTCAAGCCATCAAGAAAGGCTAAATATGACAGGCCACAGAGGACAATTTCGCGAATGATTCAAGAATGTAATTAAAATTGGACAGTAATTTGATCATGTTAAAGTAGATCATGTAGTTTAAGGAGACAAATAATAACCAGGATAAGTTATTTGCCCCAAGATGATGTTGAATGGAAGCTTCGCCTCAAATGAATTAGAATGTATGCTCCATTTTTGGGCTAAACCTTGAACATCAGAGAGAGAGAGAGAGAGAAGCAAAACTTCTAATATTGTTATGTTAGTTCTTAGTTCTCAAGAAAATTTACGTGGGGAACAAAAAGAAGTAAAAGGGATGACATATAGGCCACAACACAAGTAATTAGCATAAATCGGCACCACTACAACGCAGGCACATAGACTAGAGATACTTTTATAACATGACTGACCCATTTAGTGTACTGACAAAACTTTTATCTAGTGTGAAATATACTCTCAAGATAAAGAATGGAATCATATTACAAGCACTAAAAGTCAACAAAAAAAATGTTTGGGGAAATAAAAAAGGATGAATAATGGTAATGGCAGAAAGTGACTATACAAGTTGGGTGTTAGGTTGGTAAAATGACACTGTTCACGATAAAAAGTCAGTCCAATCGTCTAATAATATGTCATAAAAAGGATACATCTCCTAAGTAACATTAAGCCCCTGAAAAATCAGAATTATATAAAACAATTGACAAGTGGACTTCCAGACTTACCTTAATGTCACTTCCACGAAACAGAATGTACTCATACACTTTATCACTCGGAGGAATTTGTGGACCATCTTTCTTTCGCCCCTCAGTTCCATAAGACCTCACTGCAACATTAGGCAATGCATATAAAAGGTTTAGTTTCTACAGCATGCTTTGGACTACAAGGAACAATTATTATTATTATTATTTTTTATTTTTTTTTGATAAATACTACAAGGAACAATTATTACAGCTACAACTAGCTGTGTATTCTATCTATCTGGCACGTTAGCTGAAGTAAACCACACAAACAAATCTATATTAGAATGAAGTGACTACAAACACTCTTCAACCAAAACTAGATCATATTTATTGACTTTGCTTTGTAAATACAATACTCAAATATGCAACAAAGATCACAACTAACTGTATCTTCAGCCAAAACTACAACCTTCCAAACAACAGATGATGTTACTGGTGGAGAAAGAATAAATTAATGCATAACATAAAATCCAGACAAATTACTGTAGTAATCATGCCGTAGAGCATTCCTCTTGATAAAAAGTTTGACAAGTAAATACAGAACATAATAAAATCAATATTAATACAAGCTTATGCAACTCATAAATAACAAAACTAAATTCTCAAGCATGTTGTACTCATAAATTGGTAAGGGAAAAAGAACAGAAAAATGAAAGAAAGAAAAGACATTATGCACCCCCAAGAAGTATAAAGGTATGTATATAAATCATCACTAATCAGAGTAGTTCCAGAAAAAGCTTGCAATGCTTTTAAAATTCAACACATACAACTTAAAAATTCCTAATTCTTATTGTAGCAGTTCGGAAGCAACCAATTTAGCTTAACTTACACACTTCACAAAGACCAAAACGAATCGCACAAATAGACTGAAGTAAGAATACCAGATATAAAACCATAAGCAAAACCAATGTAAGAGCTCAATACAGAGTGAACAAGAAAATAATAATAATAATAATACCTCTGCATCAAATTAATTGTCTGGCACGGAAAACGAAAACCTAAAAATAATGCATTTTTATGCCAAAATTTAAAAAACCAAAAAAAAGCAAAAACAAATTAATAGAACTTAAAAGATCTTTTACCTGGTGAATAAAAAAAAAATTAAAAATTCAGTACAAGAATACATTCTTTACAAGTTCTTGTTTTCCATGCCATACATATAATTTGGCATAGAGGGAGTAATAATTTGATAAATGAAGTAATGAGTCATCTTTTTACATTTTTATCAAATTCAAATTAGACGAAGGATTTGATGAGTTTCCTTTAATTTGATGAAAGAAAAAGGGACCATTTTGGGAATAGTCAATGCACCCATTAAAGAAAGAAGTTGGTCCTCACCTGCAGATTCTCTTTCTCAGCGGCCGTTCGTTTGAGTTTGAGGAGACTCAAGCGGCAGAGGAGGAGCGGTGCAATTTGTCCATAGTTGGGCGTGGGCCAGGGCTTCGACGGGTGATGGTGTTGAATGGGTCAGAAGCACGATGAATTGCGGCAAGGATGAAGCTAGCCTCTACAAAACCAGCTAATCTCAAATTCTTGGGCCGCCTCACTAGGGGTACTCGCTCTGTAGCAGTATGGGTTTGGGGCGAGGAGGGGTATGGGTCATCTCTTCAAGTAGTGGTGGCGACTGGGAGGCGGCAAGACCAAATCTTCATACCTTCATCTGTTTTCGGTGATGGGTGGGAAGGGGTGGCACTGGTTATAGAAGGTTTTGGAATGATGGCAGAGACGGTCAAGAAACCTGGAGGTCTCAAGCGAACATCCACTTCAATTTCAATGTCGCAGACTACTCATCGACCAGCTGAAGAGGTGGTTCGCACTAGGGTGGAGGCTGATTGGTTTCAAGGTTGTCAAGATTGCGATCTCCTACGATCCAATATACACCATTCGATCTGACTCATGCTTTGGATCGACCCCAGATCAAGATCGTGGTGGGATCGTTTTGGGATCGTCGAGATCGTTAAGATTGCATCTAGATCGCGACTCCATGCGATCCAAATTTCAAGGATTTTTTTGGCAACTTAAAAGCAAAATCGGGAGCAAAAATGAGAGAAGCAGAGAAGCAAAGCAACAGCGAAACCTGACCTGCTGCGATTAGGGCAATACGAATTGGGGAAAGAGAGATTCAACATCAAACAGAGAAGCCTGACCTGCTGCGACTCTAGGTACGCTGCTTCTTTTTCTTCTTCTTCTTCTTCTTCGCTGCTGTTCAAACTGTCTACCTACTCTCTTTTTTTCTTTTTCTTCACTATTCTTCCTCTCTGCTGTTCTTCTTTCTTCGCTGCTCAGTAGGTCTTCTTTCTTTGTTGATCTTTTCTTCTTTCTTCACTGAATCAACTCTTTCGGTGTTTTTTTTTTTTTTGCTCTTATTTATTTATTTATTTTTGTTTCTGTAAATTATATTATATATATATATATATATTTATGTATGTTTCTCTCATATATAAATTATATTATATATATATATATATATTTGCTCTGTAAATATACATTTTTTTTGCTCTTATTGTGGTTCTGTTTCTCTTTTTTCTTTTCTTTTTTTCTTCTTCAATTTTCCTTGTTCTTCTTTGCTGCCTGCAATGCTATAAATTATAATGCTACTGCTATTTTCATTGGCTCCTGGGAATGGAAATTAAATCATTGTAAGATTCATTTTACTTAATCTTGTTAAACACCATTGCTTCTTTGATTGGAAAGGCAAAACAGGATTGCTTATCAAAAAAACATGAACTGTTTTCCCAAATGATGGTTTGTTTAAAGCCTTTTGATACATGGGCTTGGAATTGTTGTCTTGTGCCTTTTTACAATTTGCCAAATGATGGTCTGTTTAAAGCCTTTTTACAATTTGCAATTTTTACATGGGTTTGGAATTTCTTTTAATTTTTACAATTTGCAATTGCAGCACACAATGTCAGCCTCTGGTTCAGCAAGAGGGAGGAAGAGGAAAAATGTTGCTGGTCACAGATATGATCCTGGTTGGGAACATGGCATTGAAGTGGATGCTGCAAGCAAAAAGGTAAAATGCAAATACTGTAATGTTACTCGTTCTAGAAGAATATATAAATTAAAACACCATTTGGCATGCACTCATCAAAATGTTGAACCATATCCCCAAGTTCCGAAAGGTGTTAGAGAAAAATTTATGAGTCTTCTAAGAACTCAAACATTGGAGTTTCAAAATAAGAAAAGGCGGATGATTGATATTGGTGATGATGATTCAGATGATGAAGTGGAACTATTGGATGTCGGTGGCCATAAAAACAAACAAAAACATTATGAGCGTATGGATAAATTTGTGGTGAATAAGTCTCGGCATCAAAATTAAAAAACTATCAATCAATTATTTAAGAACGAAGAGAGAAATGATGTTTGTCAAACAATTGCCCAGTTTTTTGACACTAGTGCAGTTCCTTTTAATTGTGTCAACAACCCTATATTTCCACTTACGGTTAAGAAAATTGGAGATTATGGAAAAGGCCTTGTGCCACCATCTTACCATGAAATTAGGGTGACACTTTTAAAAAAAGAAGTGCAAAAGACATTGCAATTACTTGACGAGTTCAAGGAACAATGGAAGAAGACCGGGTGTACAATTATATCCGATGGATGGTCGGATAGAAAGAGAAGATCAATTTATAATTTTATCGTCAATAGCCCTAATGGAACTATCTTTCTATCATCATTGGATACATCCAACAATTCAAAAACCGGTGAAAAGGTTTTTGAGACGTTGGATGAGGTTGTTGAGAAAGTTGGAGTGGAGCATGTTGTGCAAGTGGTGACCAATAATGCTTCTAATTATAAGTTGGCGGGAGAAATGTTAATGGATAAAGGAAGAGCTTGTTTTGGACACCTTGTGCCACTCATTGCATAGATTTGATGTTAGAGGATTTTGAGAAGCAAATCCTACCTCATCGAATTACAATTAAAAAAGGAAAAAGAATTGTGGCATACATTTATTCAAGAACAAATCTTATTCATTGGATGAAGGAGTTCACCAAAGGTATTGAACTTATTAGGCCCTCGGTAACGCGGTTTGCCACGTCTAACTTGACCTTGAGGCGCCTTCATGAGCAAAAGGGTACATTGTTCTCTTTGTTTACATCATCCAAGTGGAGGAATACTCGATTTGCAAGGTCTGAAAAGGGTAAAAAAATTGAAGATATTGTTTTAGATAATCGTATTTTTTGGAAGGGCGTTTCTATGTGCTTGAAGGCCGCGGTACCTCTCATTAAAGTACTTAGATTGGTGGATTCGGATGAGCATCCGGCGATGAGATTCATTTACGAGGCAATGGATCATGCGAAAGAGAAAATTCAAAGCAATTTCAATAATGTTTTCTCATGGTAAACTTTTATTTAGTTAAACTTATTTACTTTACTACTATATTTCTCTAAACTTTTTATTTATTCATTAATACTCTTTATTCAATGGTGTTAGCTATGATCCTATATGGACCATCATTGATAGAAGATGGGAATCCCAACTGCATCACCCATTGCATGCTGCAGCATACTTCTTGAACCCTCAATTTCATTACAGTCCCAATTTTCAGCCCGATGCTGAGGTTAAAATTGGGCTGTACAAATGTCTTGAAAGAATGGTTCCTGATGTTAATGAGAGGGTAAAGATAGATTTGCAAATTGATGCATTCAAGAGTGCAAAAGGACTCTTTGGCATACAAAATGCAATCATGACTAGAAAAAAGAAATTTTCAGGTGTTTTTTTATTTTTACTATAAGTTGATTTGTATCATTTTTAATATCTTATTATTTGTTTTCATTTCATCAATTTTAAATTTATGACTAAACTTTCATGTAGCTGATTGGTGGGACTCTTTTGGTGATGAATGCCCTGAGTTGAAGAGGTTTGCAATTAGGATATTTAAGTTTAACACGCAGTTCATCGGGGTGTGAGCGAAATTGAAGTGCTTTTGAGATGGTACATTCAAAGTGGAGGAATCATTTGCACCAAAAGAGAATGAATGACTTGGTGTTTGTCATGTACAATTTGAAATTAAGACAACGACACACGAATAGACAAGCAATCGTAAATCCATTATGTTTGGATGATGTCCCATCAGATGATGAATGGATAATAGAGAGAGAGACTCCAACTCTTCCAAGAGAAGGAAATTGGTTGAGTGTGCTTGATAGGAATGCTCGACATAGATGTGATTCGGATGAAGACAAAGTGGAGGCCCTTGCAAGGAATTTGGAAGAAGCTTGTAAGTTTATATACACATCTTTTAGTTTTAATTAGAAATTATAACTTCAATTTTACCTTTAATTTTTTTGTTTACTCCAACTTAGGTCGTGATCATATTGGTAGAGAACATGATGAAGTTCATGAAGTAAGTAATGATGATGCTATGGATCAAAACATGGATGCTCGAAGGAATTTTGATCATGACTTTGAAGATGCTACTATTGGTGAAGACATTGAGAACTTGTATGGCACCGGGGGTGGTGATGATGATGATGATGATGATGATGATGATGATGATGTCGCAATGATTAATGCTGATTGTGGCAATAATGATGATAATTTCGGCGACAATAATGACTTATTATAGTCTTTTATTTGTTCTTCCTTTATTTAGTTTGTTTTTTTTTCATTAAGAAACAATGACAATGGTGTGCAAGTGTTGGTATTTGCTTTTATTATGTTTTTGACTTCTTTTTTTGAAAAAAAAATGTTTGAATGCGACATTGAATTACTATATTTCTTTTTTGGGGACTTATTCTACATATATTTTGATAATATTATTTAGTCATATAAAAATTATTGCATTTTTTTATCATTTTAGTAGGATCTTACGATCCTCAATCCGATCCTACAATCCGATCCGACAGACCCCCAAAACGATCCTGTGTAGGATCCTAATCTTAACAACCTTGATTGGTTTCGGTTGTTGGATAGATCGTTGATGGGTACGGTGGGGAGGAAAGATGGTAAGGGCCTCAGTTTCGCGAAAATCTCGAATTGGGTTGGTCGGTGGTGGTGGCGCATTCAAGGATGGTGGAGGTCCGACCGATGGGGGCGACGGCTTTTCTGTTCATCTTTCCAACTAGACGTGAGGCGAAGGTGACGATGAGTCGCCGATGGACAGTGGGTGGGCGTGATCTTCTGCTTGAGTAGTGGTCACCTCTGACTCAATGTACTTCAAGGAAGATATCAATGCCGGAGAAAAGCGTATGAATTCGGGTGGTGGGTCTACCTCTTCATCTTCATGGAGAAGAGGTGTACTGGGTTCTTGATGATTAGTGTGGTGGTTTCGTGAAGGCGGATGAGTCGTCGGTGGATCTGGGTTGTATTGGATTGCGAGTGAGATGTTTGGAGCAGACACCGTCACAAGTTTCCCTTCGAGGGGGTTGGTGGCAATTCCTGTTGCTGGAATGGTTGGAGGCAGCTCTGATTGTCGAGCTGTGATCGTCGACGGCCAAGAGGAATGGAGGATTTGGATCGGATATGGCAAGGAAAGATTTTGGGCAATCTAATCACGAAAAGTTAGGGATTTGGGGGGAAGAGGAATATTTGCAACACTTTAGCGTGGATAGGAGGATCTTGGGTATTCGGGGCAAATTTCAGTATATGGGTCCTGGTGTAAGCCATCCACAGGGGCCCCGTAGAGGACAATTAGGCCTGGCAAAGGCCCACGAAGCTGGATTTGGTGTTCTGGGCCGCAAGGCTTAGGCTGGGGTAAATAATATTGGGGAGCAGCAACGGGCCAGTCATACTCAGCAAGGTGTTTCTTCAAACCGTAATTTAGGACCACAGGAGATTGATTTGGCACAACCAGTGTTAACCCAAGTCAATTCTGATCCTATAGGGATGGGTCGGGTTGACACGACTCTTGGTTGCTCTAAACTGGGCGACGTGAACTCAGGTGAAACAGGTCAGGTAGAGTTGGCCGATGTGGATAATCACCATCTCCAGTCAGACACGAAACTGGGGTGGGAGTTGGTGGCCCATCGTGATTCAAGCGGTGATGTTCTTGGGTCACAACTGCCACTGGTTATTGATGGAAGTAGCTCTCAGTCGAGGAGTCCGGAAAATAGCGATGGTGAGGGATGTCCAGATACGACAATGCCCCGGTGGTGTCTCTTGGGTTGATAAAGGTGGACAGAGTGTTGATAGCAATGGTGAAGCCTTGCCCCTGGTTTTGCGTCCATTAGCTACAACGGAGGGGCCGCTAGAGGAGTTCATGGGTCCAAACCCAGAGAGGCTTCCCAATAGTGGTGGGTTGGATAGGGCTGACATTCCATCGCCTGAGGCAATTTCAAAATGGGTGCTGGAACGCATCGGGAAGGTTAGTCGTTGTCTGGGTGTATCATTTGAAGGTCATGAAGAGGAGGCTATGCGATTATTTGGGCAGCAGAGGTTTCATGGCGGCAGGGGGCTCCAAGTTAGGGAGTTGGCACTCCGTATGTTACTCCTGGTAAACTGAATAAGGAACTCAAGAACTTGGAGTGCACTGTTAATTATGATCATGGGAGGCAGATTGTGGGATGGGCTGCTAGAAAAGATCGTAGGGGTCCATTGTTGTTGAAATGAAGTTAAAAATCCTACCTTGGAATGTGTAGGGTTTACATGACAAGGATAAAAGGGTAGCAGTGCAGGCTGTGTTGCGAGGTGCAAAAACAGATGTTGTATGTCTGCAAGAAACAAAGATGGAGGAACTGGGCCCGGAGTTGATCCGGGAAGTTTGGGGAGGCACTTTGCGGAGTGGGCTTTTTGCCAGCGGCCGGTGCGGCGGGTGGGTTCTTCTTTGCTAGGATAGGCGGGTGGTGGTGAGGGAAGAGGAGGAGGAGGAGGAGGAAATCGGGGGGTTTTCGGTTTCTTGTTTGTTTCGTTGTGTGGAGGATGACTTTAGGTGGGTCTTTACTAGTGTGTATGGTCCAGTGCAGAATTCGGAACGAGGGAGTTTCTTAGAGGAACTGGGGGATATTGCGTTTCGATGGAATGCCCCATGGTGTGTTGAGGATGATTTTGATGTTATCAGATGGTCTTCGGAGAAGATAGGAAGTAGTCAGGTTTTGAGTGCTATGAGGTCCTTCTGCTCTTTCATAGATAACTTACAGTTGGTTGATCTACCTATTCAAGGGGGCAGTTTTACTTGGTCCAATGGGCAGAGTTTGTCTCGAATTGACCGCTTTTTTATGACTGGGGGGTGGGAGGAGCATTTTTTGGAGGTTGTCCAAGCACGTCTTCCTTGGCCAGTATTTGATCATTGACCTATTGTGCTTGATAATGGGAGGATTCATCGTGGTCCCATGCCATTCCACTTCGAGAATATGTGGTTGCAAACAGAAGGTTTTCTGGACTTGGTGTGTAGATGGTGGAGTGGTTACGTCATTTCTGGAAGTCCTAGTGCTGTGTTGGCCTATAAATTGAAAATGCTTAAGGGCAATTTGAAGAGATGGAATGAGGTGTTTGGTCACTTAGAGGGCCAAAAGGCGGAGGTAATGTCTTTACTCCAAACTTTAGATGAGTTAGAGGTACAAAGGGGTTTATCCAGTGATGATAGTGTTCGGAAGGAGGCGGCTAGACAGGACTTTGTTCGTATTGCTCGCATGGAGGAGGTATCTTTCAGACAAAAATCTAGATGTTTGTGGTTGAAGGATGGGGATCGAAACACGAAATTCGTTCACAGGGTGGCGTGTGCACATCGGTGGGTTAATCAGATTAGTAGGATGTGGGTGGATGGTCGAGAGCTCTGTACGAATGAGCAGATTAAGGAAGGGGTTGTGGGTTTCTACCAACATTTGTTTCGTCGTCAAGCGGGGGCTTGGCGCCCAGGCTGGGAAGGGGTTCAATTTGATATGATCTCGAGGGAGGATAAGGAGAGTTTGGTGCGTTCCTTTACAGAGGAGGAGCTGTATGGGGCTCTACAAACCATGAGTGGTGATAAAGCCCTAGGTCCAGATGGTTTCTCAATGGCTTTCTTTTAGCATTGTTAGAGCGTGGTTAAGAGAGATGTGATGGCGACTCTGGAGGCTTTCTGTGTCAGGTCAATTTCAAAAAAGTTTTAATGCAACTTTTTTGGCTTTAATTCCTAAGAAATGGGGGGCCAAGGATGTTCATGGCTTTCGGCCTATCAGCTTATTGGGGAGTGTTTATAAGTTATTGGCTAAAGTTCTTACGAACAAACTTCAAGGAGTCTTGCTAGCTGTGGTGTCTGAGTCTCAAAACGCATTTGTAGGAGGTCTGCAGATTTTGAATGCAGTGTTGGTTGCTAATGAGTGTGTAGATTTTCGGATTCAACAGAAGCGCCCAGGTTTGATTTGCAAACTGGATATTGAGGAGGCATATGATAATGTCAATTGGGATTTCCTCTTGCAAGTGTTGAATCGTATGGGATTTGGGAAGACTTGGTGCCAATGGATTAAGTTTTGTATTTCGACTGTATGGATGTCTATTCTGATTAAAGGAACTCTAGTGGGGGTTTTTTCGTCGTATCATGGTCTTCGGCAAGGGGATCCTTTGTCACCTTTCCTATTTCTTTTAGTGATGGAGGCGTTGAACAAATTGTTGGAAGGTGCCGTGCGCAATGGTCTGTTGGAGGGCTTTGAGGTGGGTTCGTTGTCTGGGGTTTTTGTGGATGATGCTCTGATTTTCTGTGGGGATGAAATGGAGCAGATGGGTCATTTGAGGTATGCTTTGTTATGTTTTGAGGCAATGTCGGGGCTCTGGGTTAATCTGCGGAAGTCGGAACTCATTCCAGCCAGGGTGGTGGATAGGTTACCAGTTCTAGCTGCAGTTTTGGGTTGCAGGGTGTCCGTTTTGCCGGTCTCTTATTTAGGTTTGCCGTTAGGAGCTTCATTCAAGGCGAAAGGGGTATGGAATGGAGTAGTGGAGCAGGTTTAGAAACGTTTGGCGGGTTGGAAGAGACAGTTTTTGTCGAAAGGAGGGCGGCCGACTCTGATTAAATGTGTGTTAAGCAACATTCCGACCTACTTCATGTCATACCAGTGTCAATGGCACAACGGTTAGAAAAACTTCAAATGGATTTTCTTTGGGGTAGTGGGGGTGATGCTTTTAGGTATCATTTGGTTGATTAGGAGGTGGATTTGTCAATCTAAGCCTGCAGGGGGTTTGGGGGTGAGGTGGTTGGTGACTTTTAATAAAGCCTTGTTAGGCAAGTGGTTGTGGTGGTTTGCTTCGAAGGAAGATAGGTTTTGGCGAAAGATGGTGGCTTGTAAGTATGGGGTGGAAAGGGGGGGTTGGCTCTCTGCGGACGTGATAATCTCGCATGGTTGTGGGTTGGAAGGAATTTTGGAGGTGGATAAGATTTAGGGTGGGAGATGGGTTGAGGGTGAGGTTTTGGATGGATATCTGGTGTAATGGGGAGTCACTGGGAGCCCGTTTTCTGTTGATTTTTAATATTATGGTTGATCGGGAGGCGACACTGGCATCTTATTTAGGGGGTAGGAATGGGGTGATTTGGGATATTCAGCTTCGGCGTGAGGTGGAGTTGTGGGGTTTCTTATATGGGTTGGGAATTAATGGGGTGGGACACGATGTTATGGTGTGGAATGGGGTGCAGGCAAAGGGGAGGTTTACAATTGCATCCTTCTATTGGGCTTTGATGGGGATGGCAGCAATGCTTTTCCTTGAAAAAGTGTTTGGGTGCCAGGTGTTCCATCTAAAGTGACGTTTTTCATGTGGACGGCAGCTTTAGGGAGGAATCTCACTCTAGACAACTTAGTGCAGAATGGTCATGTTTTAGTGAACCAGTATTGCATGTGTTGTGTTGCTGCTGAATCGGTGGACCACTTGTTTCTTCATTGTTTGGTGGCGTCTCGGTTGTGGGCTTTCATTTGTTCTCTCTTTGGGGTTGCTTGGGTCCAACCGAAAGGGGTGTTCGATATGCTGTGGGTGTGGCGGGGTGTACAGATTGGGTGTCAGCGTCGGAGGGTGTGGTTGTTGGCGCCGTTTTGTTTGATGTGGCTTGTTTGGTTGGAGCGGAATCGGCGTACATTCTTAGATGTTTTTCATCAGGTTGTTTGGTTACAAAATCATTTACTTCTTGTCTTGTCCTGTATAGCTGGTTGGAGAGGAAGGCTGATCTAGATTTGTTTTATTTTTTAGATTTTCTAGATGATGTGGTTGGCTAGTTTGTTTTTTTGGTTTCCCCATTGTGGGACAATCGTTTTGTATTCATTGCATCATCTTCATGCTTTTCTTATAAAATTTGTTTATTTATCAAAAAATAATAATTTGACAAATGAAGTGAACAAGAAATATAGCGAACGAAGAAGAACCATAGAATGGATCAAATCCTTATTTCCCTCAGCTTTTCGTGCCAAGAACAACATATATCCAGACACAACCCAACTAAAGTTTTGCCAGTTTATAATGCCATGCCCGCATAAATGAATTCGTAAATTCACTAGTAGGATAGGAAGTCTCCATACAGGACGGCAAAAAATTGTTTCTTGCCTCATAAAAACCAACCCATAAGGTAAAATCTGCTCTGCTCACCATGGCCACCACTAAAATTACAATAAAAAAATTGGAAAATATATATCACAATGAAAATGGGTTTGTACTAAAGATAAATTCTAGTGTATTTCATAACATCTCTCTGTCTTTCGCTCTCTTTTAACATCTTTCCACTCTAGGTTAAAGAAGACAAAAATCTGAAATTGTTGCGTTTAAACAAATTACCCATCAATGTCTGAAACCCTAGATATGTAAATTTGAAATACAAACATGTATGCAAACACATCGATGAATAGAGAGAATGAGGCGTACCGTTCTGCAAGCCAAGGGTGGAATCTTGGGGATTGAGGTAGTAAAGAACGCCCTCGTACCGAATCTCGTACTTGGACGTTAAACTGATGAAGCTTCCTATGTACGAATCTATCGAAGACGAAGATGAAGACGACGATGGTGGTTGTGGTGGTGGTGTTGGTGGTGGAGATGACGATGAAGACGAAGCTTTCATGCTCGATTCGTTCGATATTTTCGAATTGAGAAAATCAAACCTCCAATCAATTTGAAAACGGTGTATAGGAAAATTCACCGACTCGTTTTGTCGGTTATCCTTTTAAATTAATAATAATAAAAAGGGCAATGATACATCCCACTAAAAGTGGTGTTCTAAAGCACCACTAATGAGTTGGCAAGCACTTTAACTAAAAAAAAAAAACACAAGACACAAGCATTTTAGAGCATCACTTTTAGTAGTCTCAAGCATTATCGATAATAATAATTAGGAAATCTATCTCCCTCTATCTAAAATGAGAAGGTATTGATTGGTACAGGGTCAATGCCATATATTGTGATTGGTAAATGAATAAAATTTATAATTTTATTTTAAATAATTAAAAATATGAAAAAATATAATAATTTGTAATTGATCAAATATAAAATCATATAATACCTTGGACTAACTAATAATTTTCATCTCAAATCAGTTTTCTTTCTGTCAAAGCAATGTAAATCTCTCCCTAAAAGTACAAAAATGATGCTTTATTATAGTCGTTTCATGCTCGATTCGTTCGATATTTTCGAATTGAGAAAATCAAACCTCCAATCAATTTGAAAACGGTGTATAGGAAAATTCACCGACTCGTTTTGTCGGTTATCCTTTTAAATTAATAATAATAATAATTAGGAAATCTATCTCCCTCTATCTAAAATGAGAAGGTATTGATTGGTACAGGGTCAATGCCATGTATTGTGATTGGTAAATGAATAAAATTTATATTTTATTTTAAATAATTAAAAATATTGTGATTGGTAAATGAATAAAATTTATAATTTTATTTTAAATAATTAAAAATATGAAAAAAGGTATTGATTGGTACAGGGTCAATGCCATGTATTGTGATTGGTAAATGAATAAAATTTATAATTTTATTTTAAATAATTAAAAATATGAAAAAATGTAATAATTTGTAATTGATCAAATATAAAATCATATAATACCTTGGACTAACTAATAATTTTTCATCTCAAATCAGTTTTCTTTCTGTCAAAGCAATGTAAATCTCTCCCTAAAAGTACAAAAATGATGCTTTATTATAGTCGGTTGATGTTAAAAAGTGCTCATGAACACTTGTAACTTTTATTTTATAAAATATTTGTTTTTAATTTCTATGTTAAATTAAATGTAAATTTGTTATTTAATTGATTTTAAAATTTATATATAGTATTTTATATTTATTCATGCATACAAATAATAATTATTTAATATTCAACAAAGCGTGATTATTTATAATTTAAGTTCTCAAATTCAATAATAATGACATATTGGATCTTACAGGGGAAAAAAAAATTATAACATATTTGTGTCAAATGCTATTATTTTTTTAGCATTTTAAAATTATATTTTACTCTTAAAATTTCCAAACACATGTCATTTGGGAACTTGGCTTTTACACACAAAAAAAAACAAAAACAAAAACAAAAACAAAAAAATCAAAGTCATTAAAAAAATAAGTCAAACATACTAATAACTCACGTTTTTCATATCACTACAACATAAACATACTTTAGTGGCACTATACTAGTGGCATTTTTGAATAGTTTTGTGGCACTTTCAAATGTCACTAAACTAAGAAAATGTTGTAGTGTATAATTAATAAAATTATTTTTAAATATATTAAACTTTTTTATCTCGAAATAAAATAAAAAATTACTAGAAAGGTTAAATTCCAAAGAACTTTATCAATAAATCAGATGAGAAAGCTTGATGATGACATTATCACAAAAAAAAAAAATTTAAATGCGATTTTTACCCATTTACATTGTAAACTAATTAACAACAATAATTACGTCATACCCCAAAGATCTCTAACGCTCTCTCCTTTTCTTTTTTCATCATTATTTTTTTCTAATTAAAATGAAGAATTTTATTGAAGATTGAATAATAAGCCAATGTATGAGATGCAGTACATTTGAAGGCAGTTTGAGATAGCATCATGAGTTTGAATAGGATGATGCAATTATGGTATTGAGCAAATAGATGGTATGCAAGGGTTTGGGTAATACATGATTATGCATAGTTAGGGTTGCAGCAAAGGGTAGGGAATGGTGGGATAGAGTTGGGGAGGGTGAGGCTAAAGCGGGGGGTTGCATATAATGATAAAGGCAGGATTAGGGTGGCAAGTTTGATTGGAATTAATATTGATGTATGAAAGTTAATTGTATTGATGTATGAAAGTTAATTGCATTAGCGAAAATGGAAGTTAACCAACTAGAAGATATGTTGGTGTTGAAAGATCCATCGACTGAGTTAAGAAGTTTGCTAGTTTCAGACATGTGACGTAAGTCGAAAGGTACCACATTGAGACTGCTTAAGTTACATTTATAATCTTTGAATTTTGTTTATTTGGTAGAGATGATGTATTTTGTGCACTTGTACAAATTTAGCATGCAACACGTAAATTCAAGCAAAAAGTGATGCAAAAGTAGATTCTTCGTGCGAGTAGTAACAATTCTCTGCTTGCCACCTCACCGCACGTGCGGCCTAACACTGCTCAAACGAAAATTAGGGCGACGCGAGGGTTGCGTGCGCAGAAATTTCAGTTTGTTCTGCTAGGAATAAAAGGAAGAAAAGAGATTGCTCTTAGGGTTTGAAAATATTTCAAGGAAAAAGAGAGGCTAGGGTTTGAAGAGAGGGGATTCTCAAGCTTCAATGATAGTTTTATTGAGGCTTCTTTTTTTTCTACTTCTCACTCCTCTATGAGTGGCTAGACTCTTATTTCTAGGGTTTTGATGAAACCCTAGCCAAATAAATAGGTTTTCTTTTTGGTTTTCTTTAATGTAATGGTTTGAACAATTGTATGGTTCTCAATAAGTTTTTTTAATATATTTTTCCATTATTTCTTCGAGAATTATGCTTTCTGTGATTATTGAATGCTTTATATACAATGGTTTTCTATTCTTTCATATTCAAGGTATGAGACGAGCCGTACTACGAGGAACGAGTCGTCTTGCTACCCTAGTTTAGAGTGAACGACTCGTATTATTTGAGATGGTTCGTGCTTATACATTAAACGTGTCAATTCTCTTGATAAATGTTTCGAGTTTGTAGTTGCGAAGTATTATTTAGTTCGAACCGTAACATAATTGAGTCTCAAATTGAAGCCTTATTTATGGAACTAGTAGTGAATTCATTACCCTAAGTTTTTCTCAAAATCAGTGGGTATGTTTGGTTTGTGTTTGAGAGATGTGTTTTAGAGATAAAAAGTACGAAAAGTTGTTTGGTTTGGTTTTTTTCAAAAGATGTTTTGGAAAATTATTTTGAGAGAGAGTTTTGGAAAAAGTGATTGATTTGATGTGTGTGAGAGAGAGATTTGTTTGGAAAACTTGTTTGGTTTACAAGTTTTGAGAAATTTTTTTGAGAAAATTTGTTTGGTTTGATTACTTTTAAAAACTTATTTGTAGAGAAAATTTCCCAAAATTTTTTCCGAAATGCAAACCAAACGAACCCAGTAAATTCCAATTTTACTTTTAATTGCTTAGTTTAATCTCTTAGTTTATTTTAGTTATTACCAGTTTATGAATCATCATCTTTTTAATCAAAATTGAATTAGGAATTTAACAATTAAATTAGTTTAATTTCCTATTTATCCATGTAGATCGATACTTAGGCTTACCATTATTCTAAAGAATTTAGTATAATTTAATATTTATATTTAGTATGTGAAACGATCCAACAACATAATAGAAATGTTTAGAGAGAGGGCTTAGTCCCTCTTGTTTGTAGTTTTATTTCCGAGATACCCAACAAAAAAAGTTAATTGCAATGATGGATTCAGAGGAGGTAAGAGGGGGTGATTACCCTCCCTACGATTTAAAAAATATTTTTTATTATAATAGTATTAGTTACAATTATTTATATATTATAGAGACTCACCCCTATACGTTTTTTTTTTGTTTTTTAGAAAAATTTTTAGTGGATGTTACTCTATATATATGAAACATAGGATCAAAATATAATATTTAAAAAAATAAGCAAAAATAATATAAAAAAAATCCATTGCTATAATTATTATTAATTTCAAGTTCAAGTTTCTAAATAATCGAATGAGGTATTAATTAATTACTGAAGTTCATTGAGAAAGATATTGTGCGACATTTTAATATCGATATACATTTTTAATGACATAAACTAATGTCGAGCACAACAATTGAAGATGCCTCTCTTTAATATATTGTTTTATAGTTGATACTTTTTGCAACTAAATGTGGATAAAAAAAAATGCTATTTATATATATTTTTATTTTATTTTCACTTTTTAAACTAGTAAAAATTGATATTATAATTCATACTTAATTTTAAAAAAAATTGTTAGTATATATATTCGCCCTCACGTTCGTCCTTAGTTAATTGGTGTTGGAGACAATATTGAGGGTGACGTCCAAGAGTGAGGAAATATGGGGGGAGAGGATCTAAGGTATGGTGGTTACTTACCTCTATTTTGTTTATGAAATCATATTGTTCATGATATGGGTAGAATCATATAACAAAGGCTTTTGTTAGCTAAATGTGGCAATTAAGGGTGCGAGAGGGTTAAGGTAGATTAAAGAGTAACATAGAGGATAAGGGGTAGTGATTGAGGGTGGTAGATGGCTAATACAAGTGCTAGAAAATAAGATGGAGAATTGTGTAGGGTGAATATTTAGTGCATTGGGTGGTGGGGTGTTAGTTTTGGGTGGTGATTCAGGTTTTGCTTCGCAATCTTTAAATAAGTGTAATTTATATCTAAAATCAATATTAGGGACAAATATATCAAATGTGATATTAATAATTATTATTACTAAATACTAATTTTTGTTGTCAATATAAAAAGACGTATTATATCAAATATGTACCACTTTAAATAATTTGTTAGCAAACATCATAATTATTACATTATTTTACATATAAAATAATTTGTTATAAATTTGAAGTAATTTTACAATCTGATCCACAAAATTTTTAATTTCACCCCATGTATTGTTGGTTTTTTTTTTCATAATAATACAAGAAAAATATATAAAATAAACTAAATAGAAATGACAAAACAATTTTTTTTTAATTAAAGGATGAAATACAGAAT